TTTTTTTTTTTTTGTCCTGACTCAGATGGTGTCTTTGCTTTTACAATAGAAACTACTAATGGGAAAGCAGGATCACTTTAGAGCTTACTTTATCAAAATGTATCTAGTCTGACGATGAGGGACACACAAAGAAACCCAATAAATATGTTTTCTCATATGGTGGTCAGTCACAGCTGACAGAGAGGAAATCTGCCCACTGGTTCTGCTCTAGTGATGCAAATAGAACTTGAGGAGAGTGTGCCTTTAAAAGCTCAGCACAGGCTTCAGCAATACAGCAAGGAGAAGGAGAACAAGGCAGACTTACCTCTGTCATGCGGGGCTTGCGGGAGCTGGATGGCACAAGCCTTCCTGTCTCAGGATGCGGAGCTGTGGCCATGGTATATGTTTCTTTGCTCACCTTCTGCTTAGACCTCAGGAGGGACAAAGCAGCTTTAGTGGAAACCCCCGGAAGGTTGGGGTTGTACAAACTTATGCACCAACCAGCGTAAACAGAGGACCTCCTATCTGCATGCTGGATGTGATTTGGCTTAATGTAGTTTAAATAGCACCAACTGACATTAGTGGTCGTGTGGAGGCTGGGGAACTGCAGTACCTTCTTTGAGTCCGTACCTTCTTGCGACTTGGCTGGTCTGGGGGACGTTTCTGACAGAGGCAGCGAGCTGGAAGGTGCCAGTGGAGGGAGGTCAGGTTGTTCCTTGGAATCTTCTTTCTTCACACTCAGTGAGGGCAGCCCTCTTCGGTGAGGCTTAGCGGATGGCTGGGCGTATTCCTTCAAAGCCTCTGAGCCTGGGGCCGTCACATGGGACAACGAGGAGTGAGGAAGGGGACTGATTTCCTTCGGGTCAGACGGATCTGAGGATAGGCTGGACAGTGTTTCTAGCTCCCTCCTGGCCTGGCCCTGGCTACCCAAGTGGGATTTCTCCGGCCTCTTGCCGTCCTCCGTGCTGGTGAGCACCACGCTGCATGGTTTTACCAGCTCAAGTTTTTCATCTGCCTTGGAAGCCTCCTCTTCCTTCACCCTTTTTTGCTGCTGGGTTTCCATGGTAAGTTCAAGGCTGCCAGCTGGTGAAAGGACACGTTTGCTCCCCCCGACCGTTGAAGAACTCCCCTCTGGGCTCAGGACGCTCTCTGAGGACAGGGAGGCGCCTTTTCTTTCGGGCAATGTCACAGGCACTCTCAAGTATGGAGTCGGGAAACCTCTGCTCTGCTCTTCGCTCACCCCAGCCGACCCAGGCCGGACCTCGTACACATCCGTCCCACACACAGTTGTCCCTTTGCACGGGGGCTCCTCAAACTTGGGAAGAGTCACGGTTGTTGAGCTGCTCTGGGACTGGGTGACCAGGATCTGGGACAGGGTGGTGTACATGGCACTCCCATAGGACGGCATGTTGGTCTGAATGCGGACGGGCACAACCAGGGATACCATGGTGTCTGGGCAGGCGGGCAGGGTCAGTGGGGGGGCTGATGTGGGTGCCGAGCAGCTGGCCGGGGGAGCCACGGGGGACAGCTGGACATTGCTGCTGTACTCTGTGCTGGGGGAGAGGCCGGCGGTTCCCGTTGCCAGCGGGGCCGGGCTGGTTTTGATCTGGGGCAGATGGCTCTCCACGTCACCGGGGAGCGGAAGCGAGAACTGGGATTGCAGAGGCAGGAAAAATCCAGAAGAGAGTGCCGACGAGGCAGGGTACGGCACGGGAAGAAACGAAGGGGGCTGCCGGAAGGGGAGGCTGGCTGGGTGAGGCATGAGCTGGGGGAGGTGGAGCTGGCCCGGGTGCAGAACGGTGGGCTGGAGGGGAAGTGGCGGGGCTTGAAATAAGGAGGGAGGAAGTGGCGGCATGGAGTACGGGGCGGAGAGGAGGCTGGACATGGCCTGGGTGGAGAAGAATTCTGAAGACTGTCCTGGCTCGTGCTGCAAGAGGGGCTGGAAGGAGAAGAGGGAGACGGGTGGGGGCAGGTAGGGTTTCTCATGCAGGGGGAGCTGGGCAACGGGGTGGTGGAACGCCTGCAGAGCTTCTGTGTAGGGCGGAGTGGACCCCAGCTGGGGTCTGTCCTGCCCCTGGCTCTTGCCTCCCGGGTGCCCGCTGTGCGAGGTGGCCGCCGAGGATATCTGGGGCAGTGAGCTTTTGGCGGAAGGCTTACTGCATGAGGGCTTTGGTTCCTCGCTCTCCTGTCGTCCCTTGGGGGCGGCCTCTGGCTCAGTTTCTGGAGGCCTGCTCAGAGAGGCCTGTCTCACCAAAAAGCATTTCCTTCTCTCTGGCGGGGCTGTGGGGGCCGCCGGGGCAGCGGGAACCGCTGGGGCCGGCGCCGAAGAGCCTGTCAGGGACAAGCTGCCGTAGTCGAATGATTTGCTGCGTGTCTCAGTCATGTGGGTGGAGTGGGAAATGTTGGGGCTCTGCTCTGAGGCTGACCTCCGCATCTCTCGGGCGTGCGGGTGGTGGCTGGGGACGGTCAGCATGTGGGTGCCCAAGGGTTTGGGGCGCGTGTCGGACGAGAGCCCGGGGGCCTCGGCTTTCCCGTGGTCATCCCTCTCGAAGGAGGCGGAGCGGCTGGACCCGCTCAGAGAGACACCGCTCTCCTGGCTGGGGCTGCGAGACAGGGGCGCGGAGGACTCGAAGCTGGACTCCCCCGATGACTGGGCCATCTCTGCCAGGCGCAGCCTCTTCTTCTTAGGGGGCAGCTTCTCTGCCGGGAGCTGGGCAAGCGTCTGGCTGCGCTGGGGCCACTGGAATCCCTCTGTCTTCTCGGGCTCCTTGGGAGGTGGCTCAGGCTCCGTGTCTGGCCGGTCGGGCTCCTCCGTCACCAGGATCTCGGGGACCTGGATGTTGGGCTGGCGGACCAGCCTGGGCTGCAGGGAGTGGGCGGAGCGTCCGTGTGGGGCGGGCGGGGGCGAGGAGAACGGGGCCGGGGGCTTGTCTTCCCCTTCCAGGCCGCTGGGCTGCTCCAGGGAGTCGGACTTCTCGAAGGAGCTGGTGTGCTGGATGACGGAAATTTCTTTGGACGTTGTTCTCCTCTCCTTCCCCGACTCGAGACCAGACCCTGGCTTGGGAGTCCTCGGCGGGAAGCCCGCAGGTCCCTCCAGGGAGGGCACTGACTTACTCGGTTCTGCTGGTGACTTGGTGGACTCCGGGGGAAGGTTCCGAGCAGCATCGGATGGCCCGGGGCTGCCAAACTGACTTTTAGTCGACTCAAAGGCAGGCGGCTCTTCCTCATCCCCGAGGCTCTTCTCCTTCCTCCTCTTCCTCAGCGGAGTGAGCTCCAAGGTGGTCCCCAGCTTGTAATGCATCATCTGGGACCAGGGCTCGTGCTCAGCCTGACTCTTTTCGGCTTCTGGGGACACGTGAGCACCTGCAGAGACGGGCTTTGTGATCTGCAGCTCCGAGCAGTAGTACTTCCTGTGGGCTTCGTAATTGTCCCTTTTCTTGTACCGAGCACCGCATATATTACATTCATAGATCACCCCTTTCGTTTTCAAGCCCTTCTTGGTCTTTTTGGTGAGGTCACTTTCCTTGGGTTCCGGCTCGTCCGCGGGTTTGGAGGCTGTGTCTTTGCTACTGGGCCCGGCCTCCTCGGAACTGTACTCCCCTCCCAAAGGTAGTTCGATGGCCGGCTGGCGCTTGAGCATCCGGGGGTGGGAGGTAAGCACTTGAGTGCTGCGGCTCAGGGCTTCGGACTCGGTGACGTGGTCGTCGAACGAGTAGCTACCTCGGAAGGTGTGATGGGGGGTACTGAGGGTGCAGGTGGCGGAAGGCATTGAGTGGCTTCTCAGCAGAGGCACAGGGGGGGTGGTGCTGGGCGGGTGCTGGAGGCTCAGCAGTGATTGTTCGGGCTTCGTCGTTTTCTCGCCGTGGGACGACAGGGGCTCCCGGTAGAGGCTGGATTTGGGGGACTCCATGCTGCTGCGCCGGGACAGCGAGCTCCTCCTCGGCTTCACGCTGTCTATCTCACTGGTGTCCACCACGGCCTCGTTGATGGTGATGAGCTTGGTGATGTGCTCTATGACCTGCGTCCGGGGCACAGACAAAGGCACCAGGCTGGGCTTGTCTTCGGTGGACAGCGGCAGGAGGGGCTGCGTGGACGTGGCCGTCAGCATGGCGGTCCGCTGCCCGATCCGCCCGCACTTGCCGAAGATGATCTCGGCATAGGACCTGGCGTTGGTGTTCGGGGGGCTGACCTGCTGCTCGGCGCTCTCAGAGCGGGAGAAATATCCAGACTCCGTGCTCCCTTTGCTGCCCGGGCTCAGAAACGCCTGCTCGTCCATCACCTTTTTCCTCTCACTCAAGCGGAGGGCCAGCTTCTGCTTTATCGTGTGGGTGTCTTCGGGTTTCTGGCTCAGGGGGTGTTCGGAGGAGGGTTCCGAGAACGGGGTGGGGTCCTCAAGCGACGGGGCTGAGCTGGACTGGGACAAGGAACAGCGGTCGTGACTGGAGCCCTGGCTCCCAGAGCTGTACAAGCCGCTGGACAGGAGGGGGTGCTTGGGCCTGGGGGAGAGCTCTGTGGGGTGGGCAGACGTGGTGCCTGTTTCCTCTTCTGAGTCTGTGCTTTCCCCCTCGGTGGGCTCCTCGAACTCCTCCCCCGGGATCCTCTCCATCTCCAGCCCCGGGGGGTACATCTCGCCGCCCACCCCGGAGGCCAGGCCGGCTTTGATGCGGTGGGCGTGGGACTTCCTGTGCTTGTACAGGTTACTCTTGGTCTTGAAGGAGAAGCCGCAGGGGCCGCAGGGGTAGGGCCTCTCGCCCGTGTGCGAGCGGATGTGTTTCTGGAGCACGCTGGGCTTGGCGCATGGCCGGCTACAGTACTGGCATATGTACTTGCCGGGCTTCTGCGGCTTCCTCTCCTTCTTGGGCGCCTCTTCTGGGGGCTTCAAGGTGACCTGGGAGGGACGGGGCACAAAGACTTTGGGGATGCCAGGCAGGTCCTCGGGGGGGATGATGGAAGCGTGGGAAGGCAGGAGCTGGCTTGGAGGATGGAGCCCAGGGGTCACGAAGGAGCTTGAGGGTCCAGGTCTCATGGGGTCGACCAGCTGCCACGCGGACCCCTCCAGGAGATGCTCCGGTTTGCCGGGCGACATGAATGCTGGTGTCAGAGGGTGCTGCGGAAGCTTCGAGATGGGGACGGAGGTTTCAATGGAGGACCTCTTAGGGCCTGTTTTCTCCTGAGAGCCTTCCCTAAGAACCGACGAGGGGCCCGGGAAGGGCTGCGGGGCGAGGAGCTCTTGGAGGGGGCCCTCTGGGGTGGCAGTCGTGCCGCTGCCTGGGTACGGGGCACTGGACGAAACACTGGCCTGCACGGCCTCTCCTTTGGTCAGCCGCTTCCGGGGACTTCCCTCAGCCTTCTTGGTGCCCTTGACACTTTGTTCAGGATCCATGACCTCCACAGAGACTTCAGATGCTATTCAGGGAGGGTCGGGGCAGGCTGCATTTATGAATAATCCAAGTGTCCCAAGGAGGCGTCTGGCTTTGGCCACATTGGTCAAGAGCTGCCGGAAGCCAAACCCAAGATGGGCTTTGGGAGTTTTGTTTTTTGTTTATTTTATTTTTTTTGCGAGTGTCACTGGCTGCGAGCGGACTCGGAGGAGGTCATCGGGGCCCAAACTATTCACACTGGTGAGGCATGGCCCTCTACTTCGAAGACAGAAAATGCGCCAGCACTTTCTGCCTGAATGTCTGTCCTGGAAACGTCATGAAGGATGTCAACGTTGCCATCCTAGTGTTTCAGTTGGCAGTGGCAAATGGCCACCCACGAGTCCCCTGTGTGCTATGCGAACGGTTGGAGGCTGGAGACATCTGTGTGCACGGCCCGATCATCCCTGGTCCCCACACTAGACAAGCCACGCTGGGCGCCTCGGGCAGCTCCGGCCGGCCCCTGCTCCCCTCTGGTCCCGTGTTGGAGATCAGTGGCCGCAGAGGGGAATTCACGCTCTTCTGTTTGACAAAAGCACACACACAGAAATACACACACAAGAGAAGAGACAGTTACTGCAACTTATCCACGGCCCGTGCAGCAGGAGTCTGTGAGATGTGCTGATATCCCTACAAGGTTAACCAGGGAGGTTCGACCAGAAGTCACAGCCCCTGACTCTAAGCACCCAAGCAATGGTCCGAACCTCCCTCACCCGCATTCACGGTGGTGTTGGGTGACTTGAATGTCACCTGTGGTGTTCCGGGAACTGCAGGGCAGTTGGGGATGGGAGGCCTCTGAGGCAGGGTCAGCTTGCGAAGCCTCAGCTGCCCAAGCTGTAAAATGGGATAATATCAAGTCCTGCCTCAACTGTGCCTCAGGGCCGTGATGGAGTCCAACATGTTAGTGGATATAGATGCCACGAGACAAAGGTGGGTTTGTCCTACAGCTGGTCCTCCTGTGGTGCAGGGGGAGGTGCCGGTGTGTTATTCCGGGATGAGTTTTCCAAGGGATAGGTTTTTCTCGGGTTAGCGTTATTCCCTCTCTGGCCCTGGGCTCTGAAGGTGGCCAGGAGGGGCACCATTCACGGCTTGCGTCTCCCTTGCTGACCCAAGCCTGGGTTTCATGCTGAAGGTAAAACCACCACCCCAGGCTGTGGAGGCTCACAGTCTAACACAGCCATGACTACTCCATCAAGAAATAGCTAGAAGGATCATTCTGGCAGGTTCCTCCAGTTTTTCCTAGCAGTCAAAGAGGAAAGGGAGATGTGGTCCGTCACAGAGTCCCTACAGTCAGAGAGGAAGAAATATCTAAGTTCTTTGCAGGAAGCAAAGTCTTGCTTGAAAACAGCTTTTTCATGTGGCACTTCAGACAGGGGCAGTGAATGGTGCACAAGGTCACCTCTGTCTTCAAACGACATCCCCCCGGCAAACAGGTGACTGACTTTTGCCAACAGAAGGTCACAACGCAGCCAGGGCTATTCTTTGAGCAAGTCAAAGGCCTCCTGTAACTCAGGCAGAGGAGGCATCCTCACAGGGCAGGCTGAGTGCGGGGAAGGCAGACGAGTCTCGTTTCTCATATCACCATCAGTAGGGTGGCCAGGTAAGATATCACCCAAACTGGGGCATTTTTGAGAGTGAAAGAGGCACTATATTACCAACTACGGAGCAGCAATGGGAACCAACCAGGGCTGTCCCAGGCAAGCTGGAACAATGGTTCCCTTATAATCAATAGTCACCTTTGTGACTCAAACCAGGCACAAGCGCTGTCTCAGGGTGTCTGCTGCAAACTTTTCAGCTTTGCTCTGGGGGCTGAAATCCCACTATGGCCTCCTAATGGATTCTTAGAGATTGGGTGTCTAGTCAAATCCCCTCACTTGACATATGAAGAGGTTGAGGCTAGAAGGATAATGTGATTTTCCCTTAATCTTGCACAGGGATGGCAAGCGGGGCCAGAACACCCTGTGCCTCCCAACCCCTGGTCAGGGCTCCGTCCCTCAATGAATAAATGCCCTCTATGCCTTCTGCGGCTCAATGGACACAGCAGTCTATGGCTCCATGTTCTATGAAAGCAATGGCTTGGCCCCAAGGGGCATGGCCATATCCCTGGAGAGTATCTGCAGGTGTCTAGAGGCTTAACAGAAAAGGAGGTCTTCCAGCTTTCATTCTGACCTTGCTGTGGCTGCTGGAAAGGAGAAATGGGGAGCCCAGCTAAGGCTGAGAAGACCACCATGATGGCATTACCCAGGGCCTCGCTTATCTAACCTAAGTTAGGACGAGGCAGAGAGGTCATTTGCAGTGTGGACAGAGAACTATTCTCCTGGCTGGAACTCCTGGGCCTGGTTGCACCTGGTGGGGACCCTTGGGTGCTGTGTGTGGATCATAAAGGGTCTACTATACTTACTATTTCTATTGACCCGTTCATGCAAGGATGTCAAAGCATCCCCCAAATACTAGCTACTGGTAAGCTTTGCTTCTTCCGGTGGATGGATGGAACCCTGTGGCATGACTGAGTCTGAGCGGGGGTCAGTTGGCCAAGGAGGACACTAACATTGTTGAGCCCTATGGTCCTCCCTTCTCTCCAGGGGTAGGTGGGGAAGCGTCCCAACGGCTGAGGTTTGGAGCAGCTCGCAGGCCAGGTAGGAGGGGTGGGTGGATGAGGAAGACAGTTAGGTGACTGTTGTGTCATCAGGTGACTCACTGGGCTGGCACTACCCAGGGTCAGCAGCCAGCCTCTACCTGTGAGCTGGGCCTGGTGCTTTTATAGAGAGGGCCCTTCTGCCCACACTCTCTGAGGGAGGAGCGACCAGGGCATGTCCACACCATGGAGTCAGTAAGGCCTGTGAGCCGGAAGGCCCATCCTTTCCCTCTTCAGCAGGGTACCTGAGCCACGGGGGACGATGACCAGTGCAGAGCCACACTTGCCCTCGGGCTCCTGGGCCAGTGCTCTGTGCTGCCTTGATTGTACTTCATGACAGGTCTGAGTTGCTTAATACAAGGGGCAGTGGGAGGGGGCAGCTGGAACCGCGGGTATAGACATGGGGCAAACCTTCGAGAACTAAGAAGGCTTCAGTCTTGGAATGGACTGCAATTCAGACTGGCATGAACACTTTCTTAACATTTTAACTCCTTTAGAAGGTCAATGTCTTTTATTTTTTTAGTGTTTCATTTATTTTTTGAGAGAGAGAGAGAGAGAGAGCACAAGTTGGGGAGGGGCAGAGAGAGAGGAGGACAGAGAATCTGAAGCAGGCTCTGTGCTGACAGGCTGACAGCAGTGAGCCCGACGCAGGGCTCAAACTCATAAACTACGAGATCATGATCTGAGCCAAAGGCAGATGCTCAGCTGGCTGAGCCACCAGGCACCCCTAGAAGGACAAGTTCTAATCACTGTGACCAAGTGACACCAAGAAAATGGTTCTTTTATCCCTTCTATGCTGAGGGTACGTGTAAAATTTTAATATAAACTTGAAGTAACAGAGAAAAAAGCTGCTTCTCCAGAGAATTGGTACTTATCAAAGTCATGACATAAGGTCAGAGGCAGAGGGTTTTGCTGACAGGGTCCAGGAGCCTGGCTAACTGGGGCCAGAGGGAGGAAAGGCATCACCTGATGATGGTGGCAGAATGGCCATGGGGTCCGTGTTGTCTGCCACTTAGGCCACAGCCCTCAGAGAGCTCTGGCTTAGAAACCAGCTTCGAACCACAAGGAGAAACTGAGCTTCAAGAGCCAGCAAGTTAGCATATCAGACAACTCAGCCTCCACTTCTGGAAGCTTCCATAAGTCTAGCTGTCAGCTCAACAGGGAAGAGAGCAGGGTGCTGGGGCTGGAGACCCACAAAGCATTAGAATATCCTCTGCAGACTCGTGTAAGTGTAACCACATGCTATATTCCTAGAAGGGGAAATACTTGGCCAAGAGGAATTTACCCTGAAGCTTTTGCTGGGTCCTGACAAATAGCTCTCCCCAAGGCACAAATTTACACACCTGCCAGTTGCGTGTGAGGACTGTTTCTCCAAACTCCTTCCTACCTAGAATATAACCAAACTCTTTAACATTTCCTAACATGAGAGGCAAAATAGTTGTGTTAGCTTCCTCCTACTGTTGTCACAAACTATCACAAACAGTGCCTTAAAACAATCCAACTTACCATCTTATGGTTCTAGAGGTCAGAAGTCTGACATGGGTTTTCACTAGGCTAAAATCAAGGTAGGGCTACATTCCCAACCTTCTTCTCGCCAGGGCCTGCAGGGAAGAATCGCTTTTATTACCTTCTCCCACTTCTAGAGCCTGCCTGCATCCCTTGGCACAGGGTCCCTTCTGTCCTCAAACCCATCCAGCAAAGGATATCCGGCCATATCCTTCTCACACTGAATCATGAATGCTGACTACCCTGCCTCTCTTTTTCCCTTGTAAGGACTCTTGTAATGACATTGGGCCCACCTGGATAATCCAGGCTCATGTCCTACCTGCAGACTCTTAATTTAATCACACATGCAAAACTCATTTGGCCACAAAAGGTAACATACTTACAGGTTCAGGGATTAAGATGTGTGACATCTTTGGGGGTCATTATTCTGCCGACCACAATGATATCTTATTTTTCTTACATCTGTGTTTCTTGATGTCTAGTGAAGCTTAGGGTTCTGCATAAACTTATTAACCCATTATTTCATTCACGGGATTATCTTTCATATCCTTTGTGTATGTTTCTAAAAATTATATTTTTCTTATTGGTTTATGTAAACTCTTTAGATACTGGGCATTTTCATCCTTTTTATACTAACTGCAAATATTTCTATCTAGCGGTAGTCTTTAACTTTTCTCAACAGAAAAGTTTGGTTTCTGGGGTGCCTGGGTGGCTCAGTCGGTTAAGCAGCCGACCTCGGCTCAGGTCATGATCTCGCGGTCCATGAGTTCGAGCCCCGCGTCGGGCTCTGTGCTGACAGCTCAGAGCCTGGAGCCTGTTTCAGAT